GTTGATCCTAAACTATGCTCTTCCTTAAATCCTAAACTATATCATTTGAAAATATCCATTGGATCCTAGACAGTCTGTAGTGATGCAGTTAAGTCTTTGAAGATAAGAAGTGCAATGATCTCAGTAATGAAATAATACTCCCTCTGCTAATACCAAAGGGCAAATTGATGTACATATTTGGGCAGGGTCAGATCAACATGATNCTTACCGAATGAAATAAAACTTTTTTTGTAAACCTAAATTAAGGGAAACCTAAATACAATACCCAAATCCCAACTTCCAAATATTCACACTCTTCTCCTTTAGCTTGTCATCCTCCAGTTCGCCGGTCTTTGTCTTCCTCCAAAACCGGAGATAGAGTCGTCAAACCGATTATCGTTGCAAACAGCAACTTGCGAAGTGAACTTTCGGTGTCGTCATCTTTCCCTTCACTGGCCTTTCGGACTTGCAGAGTGGCCAGCAAAGTTGGCGGTGTAGTGGTCGCTTGTATTGTCTTGTGGATGAACCAGAATTTTTGAGTAAGTTGGAAATTTTTTTAAAAGATTCGAGTATAAAAATAAGTTTATACATCGAAGATGTCTATACTAAAACAAATTTTTTATCTATTTATTTACTCAAATTTAAGTAATGGTAGGAGTCACCCTGCGAGATGATCTTTAAAGTTTCTGTAAGATATAAAACCATGGGCGCATAATATAATTTTNGCTATACTAAAACAAATTTTTTATCTATTTATTTACTCAAATTTAAGTAATGGTAGGAGTCACCCTGGGAGATGATCTTTAAAGTTTCTGTAAGATATAAAACCATGGGCGCATAATATAATTTTTTAAAGTTGTGGGTTTGTCAAAATCACCTGTGCAAAGTCACAATAGAAATCAGATATGATAGTTGTCTGACTGTTCTTTCACGTGGGTAAAGAATCGTAAAATTACTGATCCAATGAAGTGACATTTCGGATAATTCTAGGTGTGTGCGCGTTTAGATAGAGACTACGAAACTTACACTTCTAAGTGTGAATTTTGTAAATCTTTTTGATCAAAAAATTCAAAACTATGGGTGCGATGTCATAGCATTAGGCTGTTGCTGTTGGGCTCATTTGTCTCCCACTAGGGCCGCTCAACCGGTGGGGCCTTCGGGACTAAAGTGGGTCAGGGGATGGGATTATCCCATATCAAATGGCTCTGGGTATGTGTATGTGCTTATATAGAGACTATGAAACTTATATTTTTAAGTGTAACTTCTGTAATTTTTGTTGATAAAAAAAAAAAAAATGAAGTGACACCTCTCTAATCTTAAATAGAGTATCCTCTAGTTTTTTTTTTTTGAATTTGTTATTTTCAAATTAGACAAGTATTTATATTTAGGGACAGAATATACACTTTATATAAATCCCCCCCCCCCAAAAAAAAAAAAAAAAAAAANAGGGGATGGGATTATCCCATATCAAATGGCTCTGGGTATGTGTATGTGCTTATATAGAGACTATGAAACTTGTATTTTTAAGTGTAACTTCTGTAATTTTTGTTGATAAAAAAAAAAAATGAAGTGACACTTCTCTAATCTTAAATAGAGTATCCTCTAGTTTTTTTTTTGAATTTGTTATTTTCAAATTAGACGAGTATTTATATTTAGGGACAGAATATACACTTTATATAACCCCCCCCCCAAGAAAAACCAATTTCTCAACCCAACAATTATCCGAATTTAAATCAATTAATTCTATTTTATTCGGACCTGGATAGAGTACTGAAAATATTTTTCGAAATACTCAATATTGTTGGACCGTGAATAAGTTCATTTTGCCCAAGATTAACCCACCTATCAAATACATCAATCAATCGATGCATGTCTTTTTTTNTAAATCAATTAATTCTATTTTATTTGGACCTGGATAGAGTACTGAAAATATTTTTCGAAATACTCAATATTGTTGGACCGTGAATAACTTCATTCTGCCCAAGATTAACCCACCTATCAAATACATCAATCAATCGATGCATGTCTTTTTTTATTTAGCTGTTGAGGCACTAAAACTAAACCACATAGCTAGAAAAAAAATCTTTTAACTATGCTCCACAGAAGGTTGATCCTAAACTATGCTCTTCCTTAAATCCTAAACTATATCATTTGAAAATATCCATTGGATCCTAGACAGTCTGTAGTGATGCAGTTAAGTCTTTGAAGATAAGAAGTGCAATGATCTCAGTAATGAAATAATACTCCCTCTGCTAATACCAAAGGGCAAATTGATGTACATATTTGGGCAGGGTCAGATCAACATGATATGACAAGATTGAGCTCACTAAAATGGACGGGGAATTAAAAGAGGGAGGTTTCGAAAGGAATCTAGACCCTTAAAGAGGATTATGTTATATATTATTCCACCATTTTACGTGAGTTCAATCATATCCCTCACTAATACATGATGGGTGGTCTATTAAGAAAAAAATTAGAGGGAAAAAAAAAGTATCGAAAGAGTATTTGGCAAGGATGAGTAGCTATACTTGACAAGCTAGTTAAGAAAATTACCATAAAAGGGTAACTATGGATCAGAGAAGATGCTAAACTAGGTATCAGTTAGCAGACCACTCAGCTCTAATCTATTCTAATGTTACACTAGGTATTCCCCTATATATTCTACCAAGATCATCTCAGCAATAATCTTTTTACCTACCTTCAATCACCAATTTACACCCATGGATACTTTAAAGCTATGATGTATAATTATATAAGATGATGAATGATCAATCACTCCCTGTTAGTTTAGATTAATGACCAAGCATTTAAAAAATTAGACGAGTAACAAAACCAACTTCAACTTCATCAAAACAAACAATTTGCCCCACTCATACCCCTTGATACATCACTTATCTGCGACAAATTGTGTGGAAATTTTCAAGAAAATTGTGTATGGAAGTTCTTGATCTGGTGGCAACTGATTCTGCTGTTGCTTTGAAGTGAAACACAATCAGAATTTTACAAAGAATGAAGGTTGCTTCACAGGCAAACACAAAAAAGGCAACAAAATCACAGTATATAAAACCTTGCTTATTCAAAGGGCCCTAGTGCATGCACTAATTTACCATTAGTATCAGGCAGCCAAACTAGAAGTGATTGAAAAATTGGTTACAACAGATAATATTTATCAGTTGAAATACAAATCTTGATGTACAGGTCCAGGAGTCATCAATTGAAAGCTGGGTAGGAGAATTAAAGAAAAGAGGGAAGAAAACAAATAGAAATTTCAAAGATGAAACTGCTTTCTGCAGAGAGAATGTAAAACATTAATCACTGAACAGACGACCCAAAGACATTAGAAGAGAGATTGCAAAGTTCTCTGAACTACAAAACGCAGTCAGAGGACAAAGATATAAAAGAGGAACAGAGAAAGCCATTAGCCTATCTTGTTTGAAACAGATCATTAGCTGCTTCATTAATTGGGCAAAAAAGGATATGAATGAGGTGTAAATGTTGTGTAAAGGCAATGAACCTTTCCCAATCCCATTGATCAAGTATGAGCTTATATGTATGTATGTGAAATCTTTGACACTCTTCCCTCATTAGCCGATTTTCAGGGGCAAATTCTACGTATGGGTTTACATCAATTAGCATCGGAGCAGAAGATCCTATGCTTGAAAACCACCCTAATGATCAAAAAACTTTGCCCAAAACCTAACCACATAAGGGGAAATATTAAAGTATATAAACACTTAGTTGAATCGTCCCGAAATTTTTGTATTAGTTGGTGGTTTAACACTATCCATCCATAGAAGTGTACTTTCGACATCCACTATGAGCTTTTTGGTAGTGTGGGCAAATGAGTGGATGTAGAATGAGAGGATAAAAAACGGAGAGAGGAAAAAATTTCAATTGTTGGGTTGCTGGGGAAAATATAGTGGAGAAGTAAAAGTGGATGGAATGATATCAATTTAGCCCACAATTCGTAGATGGTCATTTTATTGGGAGTGTGGCAGGCATATTTAGGCAACAGTAGGAGGTTATTATGGTAAAATAAGCAAGTAATTTTTTTCTTCTTTTCCTCATTGCTAGCAAACAAAACAACGAAAATTTCTCTTTTTCTTTCCCTCCCTCCTACCAAACAGACCTTAACCAACTTAAGATTTCTGCAGAAGAACACCAAATTGCAGCATGAGAAGAAACTTCAATGGAAGTTAAGACAGTTATCTACTATCATCAAAACATGCTTCTTGTATTTATTGGTATATGGAATTTCAATTCTTGGAATTAGTTTCTAATCCATTATGAACAAACGTAGTTATTAAAAGGTATTCATCTTTGACATCTCATGTTATTACAGTTTGTATAACTTAGGGATTTTATTTCGTCAAATTTACAAAACACTTCAGACCAATTTAAGAAATATTACAACTCAAATGTCAAGTGAAGATCTTTTAATTCCTGCCTCCTTGTAAATCCATGTAAATTTTTTTTAGCTTCTTCATTAATTTGTGCAAACCAAATAAAGCAGATTGAAAATTAGGATGGCAACTACAACTTTCTACCTACCTGCCTTCACTTTCGACTAGAAGTGCAAGAAAAGAGTTTTTGCACATGAGCAAACTATGAAGTGACAAAAAAGAAAGGGCCAGGGAAATTTTGGCCTTCTGGTTTTTTATATATGTGCTCATTGATGACCAACAGTTTACAAAACTATTGCCATTGACAACCAACAGCAATAAAATCTGAAGGTACAGAAATTTTTCAGTATTGTGTTGTGTGTTATATACATCTCAGAAAGGAGAGTTTCACATGGCTAATCTTGAGCAATCTATCCAAAGACAGTAGAATCATTAGTTCTCTAACCAAGTTCCATTGGGTTAACACGTAGTTTCACATAACTAAAATTTTACAGTGATACCCAATTTTTGATCACCATATATGCATGTACAAAGACAAAAAAAGAGCATATACATCAGAATTTCTATCCCCCACAATATTAGCAAGCAGTAATGAAAAGATTACGATTGTGAACTTGCCTATTCAGATGGAGATGCGGATGATAACAAAGTTTCCACCGAGTCTCGTGTGCATCCTTCTGCACTTGGAATATCATGTGTATCAGCTTGATAATCAGTACTAGTCTGCAGTGAAGTACCAACACTTGTGTGGAAGCTGGGTATCTCATTCTCACAACGTAAGCTCATCGACCCACCCATAGATTGCAACCCACAACCGCCTTCTGCGATAGTAGTTGTAGAATTACACTGCTGCTGCAAGGGAAAAACACCCAATTCACTATATATCTTTCCTCCAATATCCATCAAGAGACCTCTGAGTCTCAAAACTTCAGCTTCAAGAACAGCCCGCCCCTGTAACTTTCTAATTAGCTGCTGGTTCACAAATTGCAATTTCATAACTTCCCCCTCTAAATAAGCTGTGTGAGCCTTTTTCTTCTCTCTGTATTTCCTAACGGCTTCTCTGTTCCCCGACGGCCTTCTAGGCTTTGGCACCAGATGCTCATTATGGTGTGGCACATCATCATTTTCGGATGGGAAAATTTGGGTGTGGGTGTGGTTGCATGTGTGAGTATGTGCAGTGTCAGCGCCAGGGCCAGGAGGGTTGCAAGTGTGAGCGTGGGTACATGTTCCTGAATTCTTCAAGAAATCATCGATAAATGCATCCATCGACATGGATGCCTGAACATTGCTAGAAGAATCCAACTTCGGAAATATAACATGATGTGAACCATCTTCGTCTCCATCATCCATGTTCTCTTTCATTACTCGGCAATAAATATCTAGTGAAGTCTTAAACCACTGGAGATATTTCTTCAGAAAACATCAACTTCCCTTGTCCAGACAAGGATGGACAATCCATAACAATCTAAAGTAACAAGGACCCAGTATAAGTTTCACAGTTCACTTACGTTATTCAAAAAAATTTATTTCAAAAAGGAGGGTGCATTTAAATCAGTTGAAAATTACACATAAATCAGTTAAGAATATATGCGAAGAACCACAGCTTTAAGAGCATAATCTTTCAATTGACAATGGCATATGTTCTTAAAAACAACAAAGATTTAACTAACCCACTAAATTCCATGACAAATAATCAGAGAATAACCCTGAATCAATCAAGAAAAGTTGATCACAAAGCATANGCAAAACGGAAAGATTATGCTGTCCAAGGACTTTCGCTTCTGCAATTTGTTTGAATGATCAAGTTCGCATTTTTTAAAGTGCGTGCCTTTGGCGGTGCCTGTGCCCAGTATTCTTTCAGTTCAAGCACTTGCACTGTTGGAGCTAATGCGATATTTTGCCAATGCCAGTTTTGCACATAGAGAGAGGGAGAGAGGGGCCCAAATTCGTTGAAAGGAATCTCGCCTGTATTTTATGCTTCTATCTTGGAAGTGTAACAATTCCATTAGCCACTCTTGGAAGTAACTGTTTTGAGGGTCAATCAAAGAAAATTGGGAAATTTGGAGGTCGGCCCTTTTACATGCACTCGTTTGGACTCAAGTTTGTGAAAGAATTTTATTTGTTATGAAATCTATTTTTTGTCAATTTTATCAGACTATCTATTCTCTTTAGAAGTGAAGTAAAAGTAAAAATTAAAAACTCTTATATATATATATATAATTAAAAATAAAAAATAATAACATTTAAACACAAAAAAAAAAATTATCATTTAAACACAAGAAATAATATCATTCAAACACAAAAAAAAAAATAGTAACATGTTTATTCAATATTTAATATTTAAAAATAATAATAATAGTAACATGTTCATTTAATATTAATATTTAAAAAAAATAATAATAGTAACATGTTTAACAAAAATAGTAATATGCTCATCAAAAAAAAAAATAGCAATATGAAACATTGAAACAAAATTGAAAATAAAAATAATAGCATTCAAGCCCATAATTAGAGGAAGAAGCCTCCAAGTTTTCAAAATTTTCATTATTTTTTATATTCTTAGTTTCAAAATGCTTTTCATTATTACTAAATTAAATGATATAAGTTTCAATTTTTGTGGATCTTTTGTTGTGCAATACAATTGGAAAATGCTTGATTTTGTTACTTGTGGAAAAATGTTGATGTTACTACGAGGAAAGAGGAAAATCATTTTTACATATTCGATGTCTTGACATTCACAAGTGGTGATGAGTGTCCTAATTTAACTGGCGATTATGTCTTACTACTCTAAATAATGTAATTTTTTTATTTGTGAACTGTATTTTCTGAAAAGTAAGGAAAAATTATTGTTACTGTGAAGGAAAAAATATTTCATTGATATTATTGTGTAAAAATATATTTCGTTAATTTTATAGTGCAACATATATCCTTTTGAGTTTTGTTGAAGTCGTTGTGTTACTATACATAAAAAAATTGATGTTACTCTGAAGAAAAAAATAAATTTTACATTACGATTTGTAATTGTTATTGTAAAGATTTGTATTTGTTATTGAATGAGAGGATTTTTTGAGAGAGAGAGAGAATATAAATTTGAATTTTAATTTAGGAGCAATTTAAGGGATAATAATTTTTAATTTTAAAAAATTAATTTAAAGCTATTTTCAAGGTCTTTAAGGTTTTTTTAATTGAACACAATAACACTGTTAAGGGTATTTTTGGGATTTAAAAAAATTGTAGACTTAAATACTTATTAGTAAAATAAAAAATGGACTTATCACCAAATAAGTTTTCATGACGGATTCAAATCATTATAAATTCATCTAAGAAGACTCAATCCCAATTTTTACAAGAAAATTATCCTGCCCGAGCTGACCATAGGCCTCAGCAAAAAGCCCAAACCCAAAGACCAATGGGCTGTTCAAAGTCTGGCAGCCGAATGGCCTACAGGCCGCCTGGCCTGTACACGTGACAGCTGTGGATAGCCTGTTAGCCCGGCAGGTAGGGCTTTGTGCTGGATTTTTGGGCCGGGGCCCAACAGGCTGGCCTGTTAATCAGCCCATTAGCGCAACCAATTATAACATTACAGTTATAACACCCCTAACAAAAATTAAACAACTTTTCCTCAACCCTCCCTCATTATTTCAATATCTCTTCACCACAATTTAATCACTTGAAGCTCATTTTTTATTTTTTGTATCTAAATTAATTTTCATAACTTTCTAATTCGGAGAAGTTAGAGTTCGAACATTGGATAGATGTTGTTGAGAGTACCCACACTCAATTAATATGAATTTTTTTTCGTTAATTTATTTTTTCATTTTATACTTTATTAATTTTTGTCATTTTGTAATTTTTACATAAAAAAAGCCCGTTTCAGGCCCAAAAACTGGGCCATAAAGCCTGATCCATAATTAGCCCACATTTTGGCCCAATAGGCTAGCCGTGGCCTGGCTATTGGCCTTAAATTTTTTCCACACAGGAAAGCCTAACCCAGCCTGTTGACCAGTCCAAACCCAAAGGCCCGATCCACAGGCAGGTTATGGACTAAAAAATTATGAGCAGCCCCGGCCCATTGCGAAGGCCTAGCTGCCCATGGACTACCAGTTGAACAATGCTATAGGGACTTGATTTTGAGACTAATTAAATGTAGCCGTTGAATTATTGTGAGTTCTAAACATCAGATAGAGCCCACTTTTAATTCAACAATGGTAATTAACGAAATTCCCAAATTAAGCTCTAAATAACATTTTTCCTATAATTGTTGCCCCAAAAATCTGGTTTGTTGCAATGACCAACATATAGATATCATGAATGCAAGAGGGTAAGAAGTTTTGGTTTGCCAGAAAACACTAAACCAACAATTTTAGTCCGTCTAAGAAGGGAATGCATTTGTTGCTACCAACAAAAATGCACTTCTATACTAATCCAAACCATCAACGTCAAGAAATAATGCAGGAGAGATTGCAGGGAGGTCGAATGGCCCAGACTAGGAAGTTCAACCCATTAGCTAGGAGTAGGGCCGNAGGGATGGACTTATCCTTATTCTCGCCCATCCCTGTTACCCGTTATGTGTATATATATATATATATACTTTCAGTTAAAAACCCTAAGCCCTAACTTATCAGTCGCCTGCCTCCACGCTCTGCGCCTCCACTCCAACCAAACCAAACGGCAAAGGCCTCCATGGACCACACCTCCAGTTCAGTGAGCCCAGCAGCAACACACACTCTCTCTCGCGTCCATTATGATTTCCTTGATTTTGGGTTGTTTTTTTATTTATGATTAGTTTGGGATTGTACATCTGTAAATCATCAGAATAATAGTTTATGTGTCCAGTTCCTCTGTCAGTCTGGGACATTTAAGTTTCAGTGTTGGATGAATGTTCTTACTTCTTGGTATTGCTGATTGGAATCTATGCTTTGACTTTTTTGTTTTTGCCTTCTATGCTCTCATTTTTTTGCTTGATCTATGTCATTTACTGGGGACATTCAAGGATGAGATCCACTCATTTACCAGTTCCCCATCTCATTTACAGAACAAATTGAGATCCACTCTGTCCATTGGCTCATTTACAAAACTAATTTGGCTTGGGCGGGTACAAGGGAAGCGGGAATGAAGATAAAAATTATAAATTTATCCGCGAACNCTAATTTGGCTTGGGCGGGTACAAGGGAAGCGGGAATGAAGATGAAAGTTATAAATTTATCCGCGAATAGGAATGAGGATGAAAATTATACCCGTTAGCAGGGTGGACCGGGGATAGACGAAGGTTTTTTAAGCAGGTACAAAGATGAAGACTATACCCTCCGTCCTCGCTTCGGTCCATTGACATTCCTAATTTTGGTCATTACATAAATGAATCATTAAAATTTTAAATGAAATGATCACGTATTAGACACATGATATATTCTAAAAAAAATAACACATGATCACTTTCGTCAAAACATTTGATGAATTATCTGATTAATGACTAAAGTAATACTAATCAAATATAATTAATAAAATAAAGAGTAAACTAATAAAAAATAAATATTTTAAAGACCAAAAATATTACTAACTCTTATTTATTAAACTACTATATATATTTAAAAAAGCAAGATTGTTCCCCGCATTTTAATTCTCTAAGAGTGAATTCATCGGTAAAGCTACTACGTCCACCGAGTATTCCACCAAAATTTGGTTCCAAACGCACATAGCAGTTCACATCATCTCCGAGTGGGGCTCACACATTTGACTAATATAATAATTCATATATCTTTCTTTTTCATTGGACCCACACATTTGACTAATTTTATTTATTATTTTTTTTTGTCAATTGTATTGAAGGTCCTCAAAATATGAAATTTGTCTCATTTTGATCCCTAATATTTCAATTGTATTACTTTGATCATTAAAATGTTAAATATGTTTCTATACGATCTCTCAAATAGGCAACATATAAATTTTTGAAGGTTTTTTATTTTAAATTTGTCACTTAATATCTAAATAATATGCATAATAAATAATTTTGGGTAGATGTTGACCAAAATTTAGATTGCTGTTGACCAAAATTTGGATTTGTGTTGACCAAAATTATGGGTAACTTTTAACCAAAATTTGGATATCTCATGATCAAAATTGTATAATTTGGGTAGTTCTTTGACAAAAATTTTCATAAAAATTTGGTCAAGAATTATTCAAATTATTTTTTGACCCATATATAGGTATGACATAACAAGTTTATAATAAATAAATCATCAACAATGTAGACGCTATCTAATTGAGGGACTATATAAAAATATATTTAATATTTTAGGGACTAAAATAATACAATTGACATATTAGAGACCAAATAAGATAAATCTCATACTTTAGGGACCTCT